CGAGGGAGATTGCATGGTTGAGTGAGGGGGTATCGGTACTGGGTTGGTCATCGTTGGCGTATGGGTATTGCGATTTTGAGATGTGACTAACACATTGCATTCGTGGACCATGAGTGATTCGGCATGAGCGTTGTGCAGCTCGCCAAGCTCTGGAGTCCTCGTACGGGAGATTGCTACGACATTGGAGTTGAATTTGTCGAGTAAAATACGGGCAACAGCAAGACCGATTCCCCTGATGATTCACCGTCAATTGAGAGAGTGTTTTGAGAGAGAGGACATACTTTGAAGCGCCTGTTACGATGACCACTGGTTTCCTGGCCATGGTTGGAGGTCTGTGGGCAGTCGCGGGAGGAATCGGAATGGAAAGAGCGTGTTTGAGCGTGTTTGCCCTGGGCGTCTTCCCGCGCCGTCCCCAAAGTCCAGCAGCAATCTCTCCCAACCAAAAAAGTTGACAGCACACTCTCCTTCCTCTTTCTCCCCTCCTCCACAAAATACATGGCTGCCCGTGCTGCTTTCTCCCGTCTCGCCCCCGCCTTGTCTCGCGCATCAGCTGCACCCTCCTTCGCAGCGCGTCGGGCAGCGTTGGCTCGCGGTTACGCTTCCGAGAGCAATGAACCCACCATGGTCAGTAGACACGTCAAATCCACTTTCACCTGCTCCAAACAACTCACCAACTGCATTCCGATTCAGATGACCGTCCGTGACGCGCTCAACGCCGCTATGGAGGAAGAGATGTTGCGTGACGAGACCGTCTTCGTTCTCGGTGAGGAAGTAGCACGGTACAATGGTGCTTACAAGGTGAGCATGGGGCATGCTGAAACTAACATTCACCCGCTAACCGTGCCATAGGTCACCAAAGGTCTTTTGGACAAGTTCGGTGAGAAACGAGTCGTCGATACTCCAATTACCGAGATGGGATTCGCTGGTTTGGCTGTGGGCGCCGCTCTGTCTGGTTTGAAGCCAATGTGAGTTCTGTTGTTATACAAGTCATTCACCATCGTATTTGAACACATCTATAATCAGCTGCGAGTTCATGACATGGAATTTCGCCATGCAGGCTATTGATCAGATCGTCAACTCCGCAGGAAAGACCTACTACATGTCCGGCGGTAACGTCCCATGCCCAGTCGTTTTCCGTGGTCCCAACGGTGCCGCTGCCGGTGTCGCCGCCCAGCATTCACAAGACTACGCTGCTTGGTACGGTCAGGTTCCTGGACTGAAGGTTGTCAGCCCATGGAGTGCTGAGGATTGCAAGGGTCTGTTGAAGGTGTGTCACTATTGCTCTATTTTTTCTTATCTGTACTCACCAGAGATACCGCAAAGGCTGCTATTCGCGATCCTACACCCGTCGTCTTCCTTGAAAACGAGATGCTCTACGGTGTCTCTTTCCCCATGTCAAAAGAAGCCATGTCTGACGACTTCGTCCTCCCCATCGGCAAGTGCAAGGTCGAGCGGGAAGGTTCCGACATCACCATCGTTGCTCATAGCCGAATGGTATCGTTCAGCATGGAGGCCGCTGATATCCTGGCAAAGGAGGGTATCAAGGCAGAAGTTATCAACCTTCGCAGCATTCGCCCTCTTGATATTGATACTATCATCAAGTCCGTCAAGAAGACCAACCGGTGCGTAATTTAACTTTCCTCGTATAATGGAGCATAGCTCATTGAATTGTTCGCCAGACTGGTGACTGTCGAGGGTGGCTTCCCTGGCTTCGGTGTTGGAAGCGAGATCTGCGCTCAAATCGTTGAGAGTGAGGCGTTCGACTACCTCGATGCGCCAGTTGAGCGTGTCACCGGTGCTGATGTTCCCACCCCGGTATGTCATATGTTAACCAACGCTTTGCGTTCATACTCATGTGATGAGATTTCAGTACGCGAAAAACCTCGAGGACCTCGCCTTCCCAGATACCCCCCTCATCGTGAAGGTCGCGAAGCGGGCACTGTACCGAACCAACTGAGTTGCCTACGTAGACATCATTTCGGGAGTGCATGCTGGGCTTCGTGACGTGGATATGTTGTGCTGCTGTGGCAAGACTTAGATTTTATATCATACACTAGGGGAACATCTTTTGTTGCCGTCAACTCTACTACTCTACATATTGCACATGGAGTTCTTCTATATCCTCTTGAGTTTTCGCTCCTCACGAGCACTATGATCCAACCTGCTCTACGTCACCTCACTGCATGGCACGTAGCCTGATCCGCACGGCATTCGCGTGGGCACCCAGGCCCTCGCAATCAGCAAGCGTTGCGACCACAGGTCCGAGGCCTTTGAGTCCATCTGCAGTGATCTCCTGGGATGTAATGTGCTTTTGGAAAGATAATGTGTTCACACCGCTGAATTGCCTTGCGTAACCGTTCGTTGGTAGGGTGTGATTTGTTCCCGAGGCATAGTCACCACAGCTGGGATCATCGGTATCTTATAAGTATTTCGAGTACGTGGGGTCAGGTGTTGGGAGACGTACCTTTCTGGCGTATACGGCCCAACAAACACACTGCCTGCGTTTTGCACAGACGCAACCCTCGCGCTTGCATCCTCCAAATGCATGATCAAGTGCTCCGGTGCGTAGTCGTTAGAGAATGCGATGGCCTCCTCCGGAGAGGCAGTTCTGACGATCAGGCTTTTTGCGACGGACTGACGGAGGATTTCGACACGAGAGAGGGCGTGGGCTTGAGCGTCCACCTCTCGTTCAATCGCAGCCACCTGCCCATCTGATAGATTGACCGTGACCAAAACCACCTGTGAATCAATGCCGTGTTCTGCTTGTGATAGGAGATCAGCTGCGACGAAGGCTGGGTTTGCTGTCGAGTCCGCAATAACCTAACATAAAAATGCACAATTCGAGCGTTAGATCCGGCAATGACTATCCCTCTGAAAAGGGAAGATAACTCACGAGGACCTCTGACGGTCCGGCTGGCATATCAATAGACACCAGCGCATCCGTATCGTTCTGCACGAGCATCTTCGCCGCGGTGACCCACTGATTACCAGGTCCGAATATTTTATCGACCTTCGGGACCGTCTCCGTTCCGTACGCCATTGCGGCGACAGCTTGGCCACCGCCTGCTTTGAGGATTGCGGACGCACCCACGAGTTTCGCCACATACATGACTTCGGGAGAGATCGTACCATCGGGCCGCGGGGGTGTAGCGAGGACAATTTCCTTGCAGCCTGCCACTTGGGCTGGGACACCGAGCATGAGAGCTGTGGAAGGGAGGATGGCGGTGCCTCCAGGAACATAGAGGCCGACACGAGCAATGGGGCGAGCGAACCTAGAACAGACCACGCCAGGCATGGTTTCCACGACAAGCGTGGAGTTTTGCGCCTGCGCTGCGTGGAATTTATGAATGTTGGCATATGCGACGTCGATAGCTTCGCGGACCGGAGGGTCCAGCTGCATGGACTCCGCAGCGAACGGTGGAAACTCTACGGTGGTTGAGAGCTGAGCCTTATCAAACTTGGCTGTGAGTTCGAGAAGAGCAGCATCGCCACGCTTCCGCACGTCTTCAACGATAGGTTTCACCTTCGCGATCATCTCGTCTGATTTGAGTACGGGACGGCGCAGAAGTGAAGCCCGCTCCTCCGGTGAGATCGCTGACAGACTATAGGTGCGCATGCGGATGGGGGCGTCCTCTGCCAGTGCGGGCGCGGGTGCCAGTCTTGAGGGCCCAGCAACGTTCTCGGTCTTCTCGGTCCACTGTGGTTTGGCATCGCCCTTTCTCCGTGTGATCTTCTTCGCCTTCTTGTCCAACGAACGCTCGATGTCCGCGAGTGTGACACCCGACGTGATGCACTTGGTGAGAGCGAAATAGAAGAGATCCGCCGCCTCAAATGCTACTTCTTGTTGTGTCTCCGCCCGACACAGTTCATCTGCCTCCTCCATTATTTTCGCGCGGAGTAGTTCGGGCTCCTTGAACAGCCTTTGGGTGTAGGAGCCTTCGGGTGCCGACTCCAGCCGTGACTGCAGTGTCTTCTGCAAGGCAGCGAGTCCTCGTGCTTGACCGAAGCAAGACGGCGTGTTGAGATGACAGAATCCCGCCCCATGTTGAACCACGTCAAACTCAAGGGAGTCAAGGTCGCAGTCCACCCGTATACCGAGAACCTCCTGTGTGGCTCCAGAGGATTCTCCCTTCCTCCACAAACCGTGTTTTCGGGATTGGTATACCCCCTTTCCGGTGAGGATGGATTCCTTGATGGACTCGAGGGAGGAATACACCAGACCGAGGGACTTTCCATCTTCGGATACGACGGTTGGAAATAGGCCGTCAGCACGGTCCGATACGAGTGGTGCGGCGAATGCATCAGCTATATTGATCCGTTGCGAGGTTGATGAAGAAAGCGTGAGGAGAGAAGAAGGGAGTGCTAAGATGGCACCGGAACGACGGAGTTCACGAATGGTGAAAGGTGAAGGGGGAGCCGAAGTCTCCAAGGGCAACACATGTATGGCAGAACCTGTAAAGAATCTGGAGAGGGACCCGATAAAGTCCAGATCAAGGGCGGTGGTTCTGATGAGCACACCCGATACACCGTTGCGGACCTTTTCAGAGACTGCACTGGCGTTTGCTACATCCAGGAGCAGGAGAACGCGCTCGAAGGGGAGGACGCCAACGACTTCCTTGGCCCATGCGAGAGGAACAATGACTTTATCTGCGCCTTGGTCCAGGAGTTGCACGATCTCGTCCAAGTTGAATGACGATTCGTGATCAAAGAGGATGTAGCGTGAGACGCTGGACACCACCGACGCGGCCTGCAGTGCGGGTACGATGACGGGTCCTAGACGAGCGAGAGCTTGGAAGAGCCCCTCCTCAACCTGACCATCGTGTACAGGGATGAAGACAGACATTTTGGTGGACGGGAGGAGAATGTGGTTTTCTGCACATTTGATTAGCTTTGTCAACTTGAAGACCGTGGATGACTCGATCGTAGATAATGTTGAGCCATTGCTTCATCATATACTTACCTGTGATAGATGACAGTGCCCTAAACTCGCTTGTTTTTATGGCGCTATGGTGTAGACGGTTATCACTTGGGATTCTGAACGAGAACATTCCCAAGACCCAGGTTCGAGTCCTGGTAGCGCCTCTTTTTACGGAGGTGGACCAACAATGTATGATGTCATATTCATCACATAATTGTGGCGAGTGTTTTCTGTTTCCCACTGGCATCTGCGGCGCAGGGTACACTAGTATATCGCAGAACGTATAAGTATAGTCGATACGACAGGTCGCAGCCATCGCAAGTGTATCTAGCTTGGCTGAGTGCAGTCACAGTCTGTATCGGGCGAGGCACCGTTGAATGGATCGCCAATCAAATCAGGCAGTGAGGCTTTTGTGAGGCATAACTCCCATGCCAATTGGAACTGTGCACGCACTCGGACTCCCTCTGCGTAAAGCTCGTGCCCCCTAATCTCGCAGGGCCTGCGCCGTCACGGGTCGATAATCTCGCCTTGATTTTCTCCAATCGATTGCTTCTGTCACAGTGCCACTCGCCTTCTTTCTTTCTTTATAAACTCCCTCTCATCCCCTCCACCTTCCCCTTCTTCCATCTCCCCTAATCACCCCCATCTCTCCTGCTTCTCTAATCTCGTCAAATATCATACAACATGTCCGGTCGCGGTGGTCGTGGTGGTCGCGGTCGCGGTCGTGGCGGAGGTGGAGGAAGTAGTCGTGGCACCGGTAGTCCGGCCATCAGTGTTGCTCCAAGTGAGGCTGGTGTCGAGGTCGGGCTGCCCACTCAAGGTAGTCATGTTGCGACAGTCGGTGTCAAACGAACGGGATACGGCTCAGGCGGTAGAGCCGTGACAGTCCTCACAAACCACTTCCGATGCCAGATCCCGGAAGGAATCATATATCACTACGACGGTCCGTCTTTATCTACCATTCAGAACGCGTAGCGGTTACTGATATTTGCTCCATTTCAGTTGGTACGCGTTTCTTACTTTCTGTGGTGCGTGGTGTCTTACTGACTTCTCATTCCAGCCATCAGCCCCAGCGAGCAAACCTTACCGGCGAAGCTCAATATGGACCTGATCCGCATGCTCCAGGAGGTCGTGGCTCCGCATATATTCACCCCGAAGGCTGTGTATGATGGCAGAAAGAATATGTTCTCCACTTACAGATACGAATTCGAAAATGACACTCAGACTGTACGTGGTCACTCTGCGTTTTTTATTATTATCTTGGCCTGTTTTGACCATAACTGTATAGTTTGATGTCACTCTCGTTGACCCAAGAGTCCCCGACTCACCTCCAAGAGAGAACAAACGTGGACCAAGGGTATACAAGGTCAAGTTGACCAAGGTGGCAGAGATCAACCCTGAGCATGTTCATTCTTGAGACTTTCACGTTGTCATTATTGATCAATCGCGCTCAATCTAGGGTATTGTCGCGGTTTCTCGAAGGGAAGCAGTCGCAGGATAACGCAGTCTTGACTGCGATCACAGTAAGCACTGTGGTATGGCCTCTTCTCCGCGGCATATTCATCCGAGTGATGCGTAGGCTCTCAACGTTGTCGTGCGCATGGAGCCTACCCTCAAATATCCTTTCAACGTGCGATCCTTCTTCACTGACCAAGAGACTAAGGATATTGGCATGGGTATGGTTCTCTGGCGCGGTTACTTTCAATCTGTCCGGCCTTCTCCAGGAAGGATGCTAGTGAACATCGATATCAGCACTGGGACGATGTACAAACCAGGCCCTTTGATTCCTCTCTGCCTTGAATATCTCGGCGTGAGGAACGTACAGGCTTTGGCACCACCGCAAGGCCTCGATCAACGTGAACGCGTTCGACTCCAACGCTTCATCTCGGGGGCTCGTGTTCTAGTCAATAACCCTGGTCAAGCCCCGAATCAACGCCGAAGGCCCCCTCGCGTCATCAAGAAGATATCTGACCGCGGTGCATCTACGTTGACATTCAACTTGCACGACGGGGGGCAGTCAACTGTGGCGCAATATTTCCAGAGGACCTACAATCGCGCACTCCAGTATCCTACTGTTTTCTGTGTTGAGGTGTGTTTCGTAACTCTTTCTTCGATGTCTTCTCAATGCAGCTACGTCTAGGTTGGAAATGGGGCCATGATCCCTGCCGAGCTATGTGTGGTCCCTCCGGGCCAGATCATGAGGAAGCAGGTTCCACCAGAGAAGACCAGTGATGTCTTGGCATTCTCCACCAAACATCCCAACGATCGACTCAACAGTATTAAAGCGGGTCTTGGAGTATGCATAGATCATTATACCACATCAATATTTAGCGCTGATAATTATCTATAGGTCCTTGCATACGGGCAATCCGAGTATGTTCGCGTGGGTTGATAGCTTTCGTCCTGTAGATAAATGTGCTGTGGCTGATTTTCTCTCAGCAATTCGGTCTTCACGTCGATGGAGCCGCCGGTCCACTTTCTGTCAATGCCCGCGTCCTCAATCCCCCGTCACTCATGTATGGAAGGGGCAGCAAACAACCTGTGATTGTAAGCCTGCTCGATTCATTCCCTCGATACTCTCACCTCATGCATCACAGACTCCCCGCGAGGGAGCATGGAATATGTATGACAGATTCCAAGTGTTTTCTCCTCTTAAACTCGGCTTATGGTATATCCAGGGCCGATAAGAAGTTCTACAATCCCGCTGCCATCGACTCTTGGGTGGTGGTCATTTATGAGCGTCAAGCAAGATTCAATCAGCAGGTCGCAGACGATATGGTGAAGAACTTATTGACGGCATGTAGGGCTGTTGGTGAGTTCAGTAATGTGTTAGTTGACTCCCCAATGCTAACTTCCCTTGTATGTCAGGTATCGCTGTGAGGGAGCAAGACCCCGTCATCCGTTGGGAGAGTGCCCAAGGACGAATCACCGAGGTATGTGCTATTGCATATACATCTTCACAATGCTCATCCCGTCACCTCACAGCAAATGCGCAACGCTGGACACGCTTGTAGAGCGAAGAACAACAAGTTCCCTGATCTCATTGTGGTGGTTCTTCCTGAGGGTGCAACGAATCTCTATGTTGCTATTAAGCAGTATGTCGTTGTCTTATTCATGTTGGGATGCAAGCACTGATGACTGGATAGTTTTGGTGATATACAGGTGTGAACTACACAAACCAACCTGCGTACTCGTTTACTGAGACAAACCACAGGCTGGTGTAGCTACACAATGCTTGAAGGCCCTGAAGTGCGGCCGCGGAAATGCGCAATACTTTGCTAATGTCTGTCTGAAGTGAGTGAGATGGAAGAAAACATAGTCATCTACGGAGCTCAACTTTTGCTAGGATCAATGTGAAGCGCGGAGGAGTTAACACCATTCCTGAGGCTCGCGCCGTTTCGATCCTCACGGATGCTCATAATCCGACCATTGTCATGGGAGTGAGTGACTGCATCCCTTCGCGCCACAATCAGGCTGATGAATCCCTCAGGCCGACGTTATCCATCCCGCCGCTCATTCGGAAGGCCGCCCGTCGTTCACTGCGCTGGTCGCCAATGTTGACGCGAACTCTGCCAAGTACATCGCGGATTGTAGGGTTCAGGCTTCTCGTCAAGAGATGATTGAAGATTTGGAGGCGATGACGAAGGTGGACCTTTCCATCGACCTGCTTGGTTGCATGACTGACCTTCAATGCCATAGTCGATGTTAGAGCAGTACATGGGGTATCGTCGTATGGTCGAGAAGCAGAAGCTTCTCCCGCCGAAGAGGATCCTCTTCTACCGTGGTACGTGTCATTGGTCTGCCCTTAAGGAGATTGATCTGAGTAGTCTGCAGACGGTGTATCAGAAGGTCAGTTCAGACAGGTTCTCGACATCGGTGAGTGAATGTACCACTTTTCATCTCTGTTTTGCAGTAAACTAATTTTGTGACCCGCAGAGCTTCCCCGCATCAAGAGTGAGCTGTTCATACTAGTTGAGTTATAACCCACTGATCGGTCTTTCAGGGGCATGCGAGAGCTTGAATATCGATCCTAAGATCACGATAATTGTGGTCGGAAAACGGCATCATGTTCGGTTCTTCCCTAAGACCTCCAACGAGGGAGATAAAAGAAGCGGAAATTGTTTCGCCGGCACCGTAGTGGATCGCGATATCACACATCCCATTGAACAAGACTTCTATCTGCAGTCGCATGCTGGATTGCTGGGCACATCCAGACCTGCTCATTACAACGTTCTCTACGATGAGAACAACTTTCAGTATGTCGAACACGTTCTGTACTCCGACGTCTCCTATGTTTATGTGTTTCTTCTAGGGCTGACGGGCTTCAGCAGCTCTCCTTTGCTTTATGCCACGTCTATGCGCGTAGCACGCGTTCGGTTTCCATTCCGGCGCCAGTCTACTGTAAAGATATGGTCCTCCTGTCCTCTGAATGCTGTACTAATGGTTATGTTATAGATGCAGACATCGTGTGCAGTCGCGCGAAACATCACTACGATCCAGATGCTCAAATGGACTTCACGGAGACGGAAACTGCCACTGGCAGTGATGCCCTCGCACAACTGAAGAGGTTCCAGAGCAACTTCAAACCATTGCATGCGACGACCAAGAAAGTGATGTATTTCTCTTGAGCGACGGTATCATCGCTATCCCTCTAACAAATTCGATTCGTATCCTGGATCCTGTATTATATACCATGTGCATGTGGCTCTTTGCAATACCAATGTTATTTGTGTTCTCAGGTCAAAAGTAGACGCCACGGGATATGCGGCGCTCCGTCGTTCTAGTGGGCTCTCTTTCGTCCCGTTCAACGCGTCCACCATCATGGCACGGGAGGTCGATTCTCATCTTCCAGCGCAAGAATCCTTACGAAAACGTCCGAGGATGCGATACGTACGTGTAGAGATGCCTCCTGCAGACAGGCGGTGCTGACATGCTTTGTTCATTCCAGGCGGAGTAGATCAACTACAACTCGTGTCTCTCGCAGCCTCCCTTCAACAATGTATCCATGAGCCCCTAGGGCCCTAGCGTTTATGCGTGGCGTAGCTGCTGCATGTGCAGATCATCATCCGGCTCCTCGTGGTTCCAATAACCCGCAAACAACCCGGGGTACTGGCTGGCAGCTCCCTTGGCGTCACAAAAATCGTCCACCATGAAAAGGCACATT